TGGAATTCAAGGAGGTTAACTTCTTAACTGAAGAACCAGTCTTCATAAGCATGTCATACATTTTGTAAGAATAAGAATTAAGTGGATAAGTACCCTTTGAGGATAGAGAGTATGACAGAAAGGCCCAAGGCATCAAGAGTTACATAAAGGAAGACAGTTCACTCTTCCCTTCTGTCTTGCAGGAAAGCAACTAGGAAGCATCAAAATGAACTTTCAGTTGAGACATTTAAAAAAAGGCAAAGGGAATAAACTACGTAACACTTAAGTCCTGAAAGTTCATTATCAGAGAAAAACACATGTCCAAAATATCAACGTCAATGAAGAACATAAGGAGACGAGCTCATGCAAAATCCATCTCTTGTGTCTAAGGAAAATTATACCATGTCCAGCTCAAGAAAGCCTTGAAGGGCCTTTAGTCTGATCTGGGACTCTTCCATCCCCAGAAAGTTTCAGATCATTTTCAGATTGTTGAGTGACTTCAATCACATTAATACCAGAAAATAAAATAGATTTTGGCTGTTTCCCATATCAGAAATGATTAACTTGATATAAACATGATACTCTTAAATAGAATAAGGCATGATATTTTGTCTGAAATCCATATACGTATTAGTCCAAATTAGATATCAGATTTTCCTGTGGATAATTTCAACAAGCCATGAAAGGGTTTAAATTTTCAGAGTTTTTATCTGGAAATTGATTCTCTAATCTTCCTACACCCTAAGGATGCTTCAGTTCACTGTTCATTTCCTTCGGAATTTGACTTCTCTCCATTCTTGAGCACTAAGAAAACTCTGTTTTGTCACAGATCACAAGAATCAGTCAATCCTGATCATGTATGTCTATTTCTTGCTCAGTTCACTCATGGGGCTGCCCTGTGCCAGGGGACCTTCTCCCTGACCTCACGCTCTCTGCTTCTCTGTTTGGCTCGACAGCGGAGAATCCGGTGCAGGGAAGACTGTGAACACGAAACGTGTCATCCAGTACTTTGCAACAATTGCAGCTGGTGGGGAGAAGAAGAAAGAGGAGCAGTCTGGAAAAATGCAGGTACATCAATAGATACAAGCTTGAATCAATATACTTTGTTCTGTTCCTAGCATGAGTTTTGGAAAGTATAACCTGTAATAATTGACATCCTGTATGGACTGCTTGAGGATCAAATCATCAGCACCAAACCACTGCTGGAGGCCTTTGAAAATGCCAAGACTGACAGATGACAACTTTTCATGCTTTGTAAGTGGTTGCTTTGGCCAGAATCTCTCCTTCTCACTATTACATTAATAATGGATAGCGTTATTACACATAAGGAGATGTCCAAAGAATCAATCCAGGGTAAAATATATGCTTTTTTTCCCCATAAGAGGTCAAATTCATCAGAATCTACTTTGGGGCCACAGGGAAACTGACTTCTGCTGATGTTCAAGCTTGTAAGAGGGATTATTAAAGAACATATGTAGTAGGCATAGAAAAAAGACAACGGAGAAAAAATATCTTCAGTGCGATTAATTAAAAGTCTTTTTTTTTGTCTTCAGAATGCAAGTACATACTTCTGAAGGACTATTGGGAGAACAAACTGGAAAGAGGCCTCGTATTTGTCTGAAGAGACCTAATGAAGAGTGAGAACTGCACAGGGCATTGTGACTGCTACACCTTAAGAATATTCTTTTTTTTTTTTAGAACTCGGCAGTCCAATAGCCTTGAGCAGCTGTGCATCAGCTTCACCAACAAGAAACTGCAATAGTTCTTCAACCACCACATGTTTGTGCTGGAATAGGAGGATTACAAGATGGAAGCAATTGAATGGGCATTTATTGACTTTGGGATGGATCTGGCTGCCTGTACTGAGCTGATTGAGAAGGTATCCTTCCTATTCATATGCATCAATGTCTGAGTTCTCTAGTTAGTGAAGGATAAATAATGAACTGGGGTATATTGAATTAAAATGTTGAATTTAGTTAATAAGCTGCTCTGTATTTTTGTGATTTGTTAAGGCAAGAAAAGGAGTTTCTCTTTCCAGACTTTCTCAGATCTTTTCCATACACGTTTCCTGACTTTGACTCTTCTCACTTGAAGAAAGATAATTTAATGTTAAAAGTGAAGTTATAAACTCTTAAAGTCCTAAAGCTGAGGAAGACCATATACTACAAAGAGAAATGGAAATGAGTGTTCTTTTTTTCACATGGCATGGCATACTCACACTAAGATATGAAAAAGAGAAGTATTTCAAATGGTTGAGCATGCTGTAGTGCAGATTTTTTTTCATGCACCTCTTTTTTTAAGCTAAATACGAGCTTGCAAAACATCAGCTTCTTCCTGCTTATTGACAAAATTCCAAACATTTTTCCAAAATGAGGTTTGGGACTTGTGAATATTTCAGCACTGCTGCCACGCACCACTCATAAATGATGGAATAATTCTGAGAAACAGAGAGACTATCTATAAGATTTTTGCATAGAAAAGCCCAGGTGTTCTACTGATTCATGAGAGCAGGCACAGAGAATTGTTCATTGTTTCCACAGCCACAGTTTTGGGGTACGAAATGAGTTATATCCCAGCCTCTGTAATACAGAAATTATGATGACAGAATAGCCAAATCCCATTTTCTGTTAATAGATGGACAAAGACAAATGAAGGATAAAGCTATCTGCATTAATATGAAAACATTACAATCCAAAGATTAACTCCTTCCCATGGTTGAAATTCAGACAGCTACAGGGAAGAGATCTTTCACATTTGTTCTAAACTTCATCTTGCAGTCTCATAGGAAAACTTAAATAAGCTGATGACAAACTTATGCAGCATTCACCCTCACTTTGTTTGCTGCATCATGAAAACAAAGCAACTGATAATGGGTTCAACAGGTGGAAAGAAGATCTGAGTGTCAAACAATAGAGTAACAACAAACAGTGGTGTTTGGCAGGTACTATGGAACATGAACTGCTGCTACATCAACTGTGGTATAATGGATAATGGTGTGCTAGAATAGATGAGGATTTACAGGAAAGTATTCCCCGCTAGAGTCCTGTATGCTGACTTCAAACAGAGGTAAGAGTGTTCAGGATTAAATTAAGTGAAGTATGGACTTCCACAAGAGTAGAGAGGCCTTGCAGACAGATTTTCATACAGCACCGGACAATCACCAACTGTATAAAATATAACAAGGCCAAGTACCAAATTCTGCATGTGGGACAATGTAATTCTGAATATATATGTATAGGACATACATGCATATATAATATATATGCAGGACAAAATGCCACAGAGCAGTCCCATGGAAAGTAATTGGAAGGTTTTGGCAGATGGCAAGATGAATTTAAGTCAGTATAATACCCCAGCAGCCAAAGTGACCAAATGTAACCTGGGGTGCATTTAGAACAGCATTGCTAGTCAGGAAAGGGAGGAATTGTCCTGTTCTGTGCTGGTGTGGTCTTATCTTGAACACTATGTGTAATTCTGGGTGCCACAATATCTAATCAGGAAAAGGACATTAAAGAATCTCCCAAGATGCAACAGTTTTGGCCACGTGGTTCTTTATCATGTTTGGTGGCTCTACTTTCTTTGGGGCATGTTGCAGTTAGGGATGGACTGAGGGTTCTGTGGCCTATTTTACTCAGGTAAATCAAACTAAAATTGCAAAGGGCCACATCCATTAACTAGAAGCTCATGAATCTCTGTCAGTGCTCAACATCTCAGGGTTTCCCATCCTTGGGATGGGATTTAACATAGACTTATATGCATCCAGCTGAAGCAGCAAATACCAAAGAAGTCTGAGGTTGTCTGGGAGTTCATTGTTTCTGCAGTCACAGTCCCCATCTAAGGCCTTACCACTGGTGTTGAAGACAATGACAAAGAAGGCATTAAATGTTTGTTTTATATGTGACCCTGCTTGTAAGCTGACCATCCTCATCAACTAATGGATGGGTGGTTTCTCTGGTCCTTGGTTTGCTGTTAACATATTTTGAAAAGACCTTTTTGTTGTCCCTGGCCAGTTTCAGCTCTGAGTTTTGCACAGATTTTCTCCTTAGAGTGGCAAGTAGCAACTCCATTGTCCTCCTGGGTTGCCTGGTCTCTCTTGCAGTAGGCATACCCTCATGGAGGTAAGGAGCTAAGTCCTTGGTAGACTTTATTAGAGTGAGCTGGAAATCTCAGCAAGACAGGGGATGTTAGATCCCCTGACTATTAGCCTCCCACAGTGGGCATCAGCATCCTATGACCCTTGTGGCTGGCTACCTGGAGTCATCATCATTTTTCCCACTGGCACTGGTCTGCTTTACACAGCTGACTTGCTCTTCAAGTGAGCAGGGCCTTGTACCTGTCTCTATTATCTGAGATGGTTGCCATGCAATGAGCTAAAAGAGAAAATCTGACTGCCCTAGCCAACTCTAAGCATGCAGATGAGCCTTTCCAGAGACAAGAGCTGAGGTGAGCTCTCTGACTTCTAAAAAGAGCTGTGTAAAACATCACTGGGAAACATCCAGCCCCCACATAAGTAAGGGTACGTTACTGCAGCCCTTTCTGGCATTTATCAGTTGCTCTCTAAAATCCCACAGATGCTTTAATCATTAAAGTTAAAAGTGTCAATATTATACCCTTTCTTAGCTGTCCAAAAGTCAGACAGATAAGCCAAGCCTGTATACAGCCACAGTGGGACATTTCTGATCAGCAAAGGAACAAAGGGACACGTCTTCCTTCTTTCAGAAATAAATTACCTATGTTTTTATTGTTTATTAATTAATTTCTAACCTACCCTAACCTGCTCTTACTCAAGAGACCTGCTCCTCTCCTCACCTGCTCTATATCAGTAGTCATCCACTTACTTTCATAGCTGATGGAATGAAAGGATATTCACAAGGTCACCTTCTCAGCCAGGATCCACTGCCCAGCAATGACTGGTTAGCTGAGAACATGAGAGGTGTCTGAGCAAGTGTGCAGATTGGACAGTTGTTCATCTGATGCCTATCTTCAAATGACAGGTCTGTCCTACCAGCCTCTCTGCTTACCTGTCTGTTTAGCTGATCTGACTCTTCTCCAGTGAGATGCTCAGTGGAGCTTGGGCTTCAGGAAGCCATGTAAGAAGGTCAATCACTGGAAAGAGAAGATACAAATAATGCAAAAAGCTGTGATTCAAACCCCCATAAAAAAGTTGCATTCACTTCCCTTTTGCTTTCCTGCAGGGAAGACCTGCAGAAGTTGTTCTCTGGGTGGAGAAGTAAGGTTAGGAGATGGCATCCCAGTCTCTCCATGGCTATCCTGACATAGGGTATGTCTTAATCAAATAACCCTCAGACTCCTACAGGGAATAGGTATGTTTTGCTAGAAGTGGAGAAAGCACACATTTTTAATTCCACATGACTCAATGCCCATAAGCAGAACAGACAGATTCTTGATGAGGATCATGTGCCTGTATCATACCCAGGTTCAAGCAAGCACTCAGCTGTGGGTTCAGCACAAAGGCAGGAAAGAGGAGTTGTTCTCCAAAGGATTAGAGTGCCAGCACTTCTGTTTGGCTGGGGCCAGCATTCCTGGGAGGTCTGCTTTTACACAGAGGGCAGCAGAAACACTGTTGAACTTGTAGGCATTCTCTGTCACACTGCCCATCAGATATGATGACATCTCTCTCAGCACGCATAACAAATAACTGTAGCATAACTGACAGCACCATTTGGAAGCTGGACTTCTTGCCATAGGTGTTTTCAAATATTTCCTGCCTCTGCTTGTACTGAAAATTCTTTTGCTTTATATCTAATTTCCTTCCTTGGTTCAGTGCTGAGCAAATGCAACCCAACTCGTTACTTGAATGGAAGTTTACGAGGACTTTATTTTTTCACCTATGAAGTGCCATGAAGCCCCACCCATGGGCGGCAACACCCATTAATACTGTGACAAGAAATCCAGTGTGTGAAACAAATCACAGACTCTGGAAGGATACGGATGTTTTAATGACAAACTAACAACTCATCTCTGCTGTAGCTGCCACTTCAGAAACCAGCATTCTCTGTTATGTCTGCTCTGGTACACACCAGCTTGAGGCCACATTTTCCATGTCACACTATCTACTTGTCATTCTCAGGACACAATGATCTCTACAAGCATATTCTGCTAAGCCTGGCAGCATGGCTGATAACAACACTGGCATGCTGCAAATCCCTCAGGGAATGCTCTTCCCAGCCTATCAGAATCACAAATTCTATTCCACTTTTCTAGACTTAGCAGAAGAGGAAAAAGTCCAGCTCCGCTCCATAGAAGCACTTAAAAAAACACTGAGAAAGTGTCTGACTCCATCCCGCCCTCTGCTCTTTCTAGAGGTGGTCTATTCCTTTACTTAGGAATGTGTTCAAGACTGAACTGTCTGTGTAACATTTGAGTGAAATAATGGCTCCAACAGGAACTGGGGGAGAAGCCCACTCTGGATGGGAACAGGCACCATGGGGCCCAGGGAATGTAGAGACTTCTGCGAAGACTCCAAAGGCCAAGCTGAGACCTCATACAAACATACAAACAGGGTTGAGGTCTGGAAGAACGTTTGCTGGCTGGTACGAATTGGAATCCCTCTTGCTGTGTGCAGCATCAAGAGGTACCTTCATGCTCACTGGCATGAGAAAGGGCCGTGCTGCATGAGGAGCTGGTGTGCAGGCCTGAAATGTGTTTGACTTGTGCTCTGCAGTTGTTGTTACTGGGGGCACTTCCACCAAAGGCAATCATGCCAGAGTGGGAAGGAAATGTTAACGTTGCATGCAGGTAATTGATTTCTTTCATCTATACCCATTCAGCAGCACAGACTTCTTGCTCTCTGGTTGCTCCATGGGTCCTGCTATAGCCAGGAGATCTTGAGGAAGTCACTCAATCATCAGCTGAAGGGATTAGCTGGAGCAGCCAGCTAGAGCTGCCAGCAGGGCATGAGCGGGTGGGGGCTGCAGAGGTGAGGAAGGAAGGTCTGGAGACATTGGAGGAGGAAGGGGTACACAGCTGGAAGAGCTCCTGGGAAAGGAGCAGCTAATGAGAATGATCAGGCAAGAACTAGGAATATGTGCTGTGGTTTCCTTCTTGTACCACTGGACTCCATCCCGCCCTCTACAGCAATGAAAACAGGGATGGCAGAACATCTGTGGCTGTCAGGATCCCTCTTCCCTCCTCCCATCAGGACATGGCTGCCTCCTCTTGCAAACCTCTCCCTTGTCAAGAACAGGTGCTGACTTGGCTGCCCCACACTTGGACAGAGGAAGTGGGTCAGAGTTTTCTGGGCCTTAACTCACTGAGAACTGTGAAGCTCAACCTGTGTGGATTCTGGACCAACAACTTCCCTTGTGTATAACCAAGATGTTATAATTGCAATATAATCAAAAGAGTAAGG